AGCATGGCTGGCTGGAGAATTCTGGGAGTTAAGTCCACTCATCTTAAAGTGGCCAAGTTTGGACAACACTGCCCTAGAGAGTTACTTCTTAAAGGCTTTTCCCCAAAACAACAATCCAGAAACATGCAGAACGGGGTACACTTTGGCCTGCAGCTTTCAAGACAGCCCTCCCCTCCCCAGCAAGGTCCAGAAGCTATCAAAAGCATCTACCACAATATTGCAAAAGACAAGCAAACTGCCATTTGTTTAGCAGGACCAAGACTCAGCTGGAGTTACCCTAGGAAATCCAGGCCTGGCTGATACTCAAGATGGCCATGGAGCTGGAACCTAGACAGGCCAAGCTGTACGAGGGCAGTGAATCCGAGTCCAAAGCTGTTCAGTTCAAGGCCACTCCATGCCTGAAATAAGGCTTAGATCTAACCCGAAACAATAATCCTACCTGAAGGGAAGAAGCCGTGATCCTGGAAGAGTTGCATGACCAGAGCCCTTCTCTGATCCAAGGTTCGCCGGAGGGAAGAGTAGGGCACCTTCTCGTACTCCAGCTCCCCAAGTACGTCCTCCGTGTCTGTGCCTACAAAAAGATGGAGACTGGTAGAAAAGGGAGCCTGTAAAGACTCTGACCTTGCCAACCCCTCCAATGAGCAGAGACAGCCCTCTTTGGCAGCCTTCCCCTTGGGTGGGATTCATTTCCGCTTTCAGCTACCTGTTTTGTCAAAAGTAAAGATGTCTCCTTCACACTTGGCGCTTTTGGGAGTGTTGGGCTCTGAACTGCAACTGGAGCGACGCCGCATCTTCCGTTTAGGGGAGATGGGGTCTTCAGTGGAGGAATCAAGGTCTGAAAAGGAACCCCAGGTTAGGTGGCAGAGACACAGAGATGCTCATATTCCAGCAGTCTACTCCACATAAAACTCAAGACTGTAAAATTAAATTGTCACAGAAATAATGTGCGAACTTAGAAACATGTATCTATGCTGCTTTTTTTCTTATTGCCCTAGAAGCGTGAAGGGGATGGGTATGGCCAGAGAGCAGAGTTACCCAGGAGTATGAAGAGAGGCCCCACAGTGTATTCACAGGTCCCATTTCAGCATCTTCACAGAGTATGCCAAAAGCTGCCCAAGGCCCCCACAATTCCTGAACTACCACAATCATGCAAACAAGAAACGTAGCTGTCTTCCATTTCAGGTTAACGTAATAAATCATACCACTGTTTAAAAAAAAAAAACTCTTCCAATCACTCTCCAGTAAACCCTGGTCCTTGGGTTGTACTGTACTAACTGCACAGCCATGCCTAGATCCTTGTCAGTCTCGGGACGAGAGATGTTTGTCCTCTCGTGTTCTGGCTTCTGACACTCCGCTACCTTCACCAGCTTCCCTGGCCCTCTCCTTCCCCTTACCAGTGGAATTCTTGCGCTTCTTGCGGTAGCTACCCAGGATGGCACGAGGAGAGGTGGCAAGAGACTGCAGCGTGGGCGAAGGCAACACCTCTTCGGGCTTGAACTCAGGCAACTCGGCAAAGCGCTCCTCAAAATCCACTTCTGAGAGAACCCTGCTGGGGGGAGGGGAGGAGATGTGGGTCAGGCAATGGGAGGCGGCTGGAGGCCCCCCCCAGAGACGCCACTATTGCTTCCAACCCAGCCTCCCGTATGGCAGTGCTGTCAGATCACCCCAGCCCCCTCTATGAATAGCGGTATTTCTGGGGACACAAGGCAGGTTTTGATACGACTTATACGAGTAACAGCCTCTATTCTGTGAAGGAAATATGGCCACGTGACACAGCCATCGTATGATAGGTGAATGGAGGTGGGAAGTGTCTGTTTCAGTGAGTTAAAAGGCACTTCCAAGTAGCCTGTGGATACAGCAGAAATACGCACCAACATAGAAACTGCACGTTTTGGAGACCTTTGTTTTTTTCCCAGCATTAGGTCGTTGCCCAAGCAGCAATAACTGTGTAGGAATGACTGTCACCTAGTCACTTCTATATATTCCCCAGAATTTCCATCTCTCCTGTGAGCCCATCTGGTCCTGTTTCCTGACGAACTGCAATCCCTTCATGGATTCATGTCTTGTAAGCATTCTGTCCTGCACTTTGCAAACTCTAAAGCCTGTTAGGGAACTGCTGACCATCGCTGAGGATTTGGGGAGGAGTTTCAACATACATTCAGTTCATTCTGAGGTTCACCATCGCTTGAATTTAAACTGAGGGTACTCCTGGAACACAACCAAAGGCTGGTATAGCTGGCCACAGAAGAGAGACTGTCACAAATGGGGAAACTGTCTTTGCAGGCACTTTTTCTACTACTGCGCATTGCCACCATGATAAAACCACAAAGAACTCCCCCTCTGAAGAATACAATCCTATAATATGAATCTTTAGGACTTTGGCCACAGACACAGTCAGCGGTCGCCTCCCCATCACTCACTTGTCAACAGAATCAAAGGTTTTCTTCAGGGGTGGAGGTCGGACCTTCACTTTCTTCCCACCTGGACCCTCCTTTGGCTCGAGCCCTTCGGTTGTAGGGGCTGTTGTTGGGGGCAGAGCTGAAGCTCCACTCCTAGAGCCCTCTCCAGGGTTTGATGGGATCGGACTCAGTGAAGAAGAGGAAGATGGACCTGTAGATGATGCTGAACCCTCAGGACGACCCTCTGGACCTGCTGTTCTCCAGTCAGGGGAGCTGGGGAATTTTGGGGCCTAGGCAAGGAGGCAGACAGAATACTAGTGAGCAGCTTGGAAGAGGTGGTTCAAACTACAATGATGAACGAAGCAGCATGTTGCTGGGACACGAGCAGAAGGATCCTCTTTGTTTCTTTTAAGAAGCTGGATAAGAAAAGGCAGGGGTAGGTAGGAAAGGTATTCGGACCAGGGCACGTTGCTCAAATCAAAACAAGCAATGTTCAAACACACTCTGTCAATAGGCTCACACCCAGCTACCCAAAGCCATCTAAAACAAGCCCAAAGTCTCCAAAAGATGCTCCTGCTACAAGTCTCCAAGGAGAAGGCTGTCTAGCCACTCCTTCCCAAAGTGCACAGCAAGCCCCACGAAGCCGCTGCAGGCCATGGCTCTGGCGGCCAGAAGCCACAAGGAAGGCTTATAGGGAGAGGGGGAGAGGCAGGGCAGCACCACCTGGCTTTCATACCGTTTCTGTCCCTTTGCTGCCTAACAGAGAGGCTGGTGGAGGGTCACGGGCAGCACCCTCTTCACTGGACCCCGCTGCCGCCTCCCGCTGGTTCCAGACAACTTCTGTGGCCGTTGTCTCCGTTCCTTGCGGCTGCTGGGATGCTGGGGGTGATACTGGCTCCCAGGAATCTCGCTTCAACTCTTGGGCTTTGGCGGGACTCTGTTCGGCCCCCTGGCACGCAGGGGGAGAGGGGTTATCTTGGGGTCCTGTCTCCCGTGAAGCCCGTTCCAAGGTTTCAGCCTCCCGGTGGTATCGCGCTCCCCCAGAGTCCTGCTGCTGCCCCACAGGAGGCCGAACGGGGCCTGGCGAAGAGGCTGATTCATAGGAACCCACTGGGATGCTAGCAATGGTGGCTTTCACCTTCTGGGGAGGCTTGAGGGATGGGCGCTGAGGTCGAATGGCTGTTGAGGGAATTACTTGTGTGGCTGAAAGGGAAGGACAGAAAAGGTAAAGCTGATGATGTGCAACAAAGGTTCAGCAGCGTCATCCTAGGTACAATCATAAAGACATCCACCTTCCGTTTACCATTATTCCCCCTCCCATTAATCTTCCCCTTCCCAGTTCCATTTGAGGAGCTGCACTTATTCCAAGATAATAAAATGCAAAGAAATCATACTATTGCCTGGAGTCACACAACAGACTAGGATAGGCTGAAATGAGCTTGGGTACTTTGGGGTTCAGCTTGTTGTGGGAACCTGCTGGAGGAACCAGGCCATCGTATTGATCATCATATGATTCATCTGTTTGGGCATCATGTATTTAGGCAGCTAACCTAATTTGCTGCCCCGTATCTGCTAACCTAGTTTTAGGTTTTATCTCAGCATTGAGCACCAGTTGAGAAGCCTGGCTTGAAAACAGCCCAGTAACATCTGCTGAATTACCAGAACCAATGTGGCTTCAAGAAGATTTACAACATCGGGGAGAGGGTTTTGACCTCTTTCCTTTTCCTCATGACCAGCCAAAGCTAAATGGTGAATATAATTTTGAGGGAACAGACTGCTTCATCTGAGGTCTCAGAAAAATTTCTTTTTAGTCCCTGCCTCCCTCCTAGTCTGCCTTCATTCCCTCTTAGTTTTCTCTCGGGGGGACAACTACCACCACTTTCACATTGTGACTCCGATCCCCATCTAACATCCCATACCTGTGGAAATCAGGCCGTGGTTAGAACTTCCAGAGCTCTGACTGATGCTGCCCCCCTTGGGCAGGATAGCTGTGGGAGAGGAGACAGTGGCAGTGCCTGTGGCTGCCACTGAATAGACCACACTGTGACTGGCAGACTGAACAGGACTGGTCCCTGTGGGGGTGGGGTAGACGGCAGTAATGACCTGCCCTTGTCCAGCACAGGAAACTGGGAGTTGAGGGCTCTGCAGTGGGGACACTCCCACTTGCCCTGAAGTCAACAGAGGATTCTGACCTGAAGGAAACAGACCAAGCACACACTTCAGCTCAACCTCCTTTGGAGTTAGTTTTCTCCACTATTACCATTCTGTCCTCAGACACCGCCCCCTCCCGGGCAGCCAACCAGTCTGTAAGCCTGGCATCCTGCTCCCTCCCCCCCAGCTCGCCCCCCCCGGCCTTACCCGAGAGCAGTGGCCCAATAGCTGTGAAACCCAGTGCCATGGGGGCAGGTCCCACTGGGGACTGGACGTAGGTGGTGGCAGGAGCAGCTGGGGGGACACTGGGTTGAGTATGAGAAGTTGAGGTGCCCAGGGACAGGGCATGCCCAGCTGCTGACTGCACATAGGTGATCCTGGGGCAGAGAGAGAGAGGGGGTATTTTATGGCGGCTGCTACAGCCATGTATGTTCCCCGTGACTCTAAACTAACACAGCAAAGCCATACCTGGTAGAGGAGGAGGGCAACAGAACTTTCTGGGTTTGGCTTGGGGAACCAATGACAGCGGTGGCCATGGTGCCCTGAAGAGCAGCAGGGCTAAGTGGGGGCACCAAGGTGCCACTGCTCTGTGAAGAGGACTGAGGCTGGACAACTGGCACTGGAGTGAGCTGAATAATCTGAAAGAGCAGAAAGACTCAGTTGGCACAAGCAGACAGGAGGAACACCAGGAGTCCTGGGCTGGATGTAAGCCATTTTGTCCCCAGGAGCAAAAACAAAATTGAGCCAATACAGTCTCAGACTCAACATCATTTACACATTCTGTACCACTGCTGTAAAGAAACTTGTAAGTGATATTATTCAAATACACTTGGAAACAGATGACTGAGTCTGCACAACACACATCTCAGGTCCTCAGTCTTTACTACAACAGGGAAGAAGAGAGAGGAAGTATGAATGGGCAGGAAATGTGAACTGGGGTTGGAGGTGATGATCAGCAGCAATGAAGGACTGTGAAGCTCTTTATTGTTTCAGACCTTCCAAAGAGACAAAGAATCCCACAAACTTGATAGGCCCAAAGAGATCTTTTCATTACTAAATCTCTTTTCCCCCTTTTTCACAGTCCAGAGAATGAGAGATTTATTGTTAAAAAAGTGAAACAAAGCGAAGTGAGGCACTCAGGCTTCTAACAGCAGTCATGAATGGTATAGATTTTCCCAAAAGGGAGCCCTCCAAATGTTTGAGCCATGATGACTAGGAACAGTGCAGATTTGTAGGCCAATACATCTGGAGAACACCAGGCTGGGGAACAGATTGCCCCTTGTGTTTTTTTCTTTTCCCAGATCTAATTTTGCAGAATGACAAATGTGCAAAATGCATGTATGTTTTACTTAAATCATTTGTATGGCTGTCTGACTCACAAAATACACACCCATAAATAAACTACAGAATTCAAACGATCCCAGATATATCCTAGGTATATAAAAATATTCAAGATATTCTAGTGTTGTTATAAATTTGTATAAATACAAAGAAGCTGCTAGTGTTAGTGTTCTGCAGTATGAGATTCCTTCTGTTCCAATCAGGCTTTCTTTCATTTAGTATGCAATATGCACGTTCTTTTCCCCTGGTCTTCACAAACTCCTCCCCACCCCAACTTTTCAGAAACAACTTAAGTACAATTTAAGGGAATTACATTTCTGAGGCTGCAGTTCTCTATATATTTATTGAGAAATTCTCCTTCACTGGACATTGTTCCAAACCCTCACTGCCCCTATGCTTGTCTATCACCCTCATGAACCTGGCGCTCACCTATCTTTTAGAACAGGGAACATACTTCGGATCCTGCATGTCTAAAATACAGCACAACACACAATATATGCCCATTCTGCACCATTTCGGCCAGTCACATAATCTATACTTTGCAGCACACAGATCTGTTTATTCATCACCCTCACTTTGTTTCACATCGCTTCTTCTCCCTCCTTACCCCAAAGGCATCCTGTTCTACAGATACTGACCTTGCTTGCCGGCTGACTCCCATTTTGCACTGGGACAGGGAAAGGTGGAGTAACCAGAGGCAGCTGGGTGGCTGAGGTGGTCCTCACTGTCACCTGGGAGGCTGCCATAGGCACCAAGACTTTGCCTTGCACCTGTAGCCCTGTGGGGGGCATCACCTGCCCAGAGACAAGGTGGGCTGAACTGCTAGGAGATGGTGCCTGCACTGGGGACACTGACTGAACTGCGGGGAGGGGGGAGAGAGAGAAAAAAAGAGAAGGGTCAAGGGAGGTTGGGGATGGCACAGCAACTGTGACAACTGGTGTTAGGGATGCATCAACTTACTGAATACTAGGAGCACCTGTGCATTTAGAGTGGGGCCTCCCTATTTAATCTCCTTGTTCCCTCCTGTGTTTTTGACTCATTAAGGAGCCCCTCCAATAGACAAACACCTAATACTTGGCTTTCCATCAGGGGATAGACTGACTTAGGTGTTCAATTTCCTATGGAGATATGCTTTTTCATTATATTCTGCTAAATATGAAAGCCATGATTAGGGGTGGCACTGATGAATCAATTGTCCCAATTTCCCAGGAGCACATTTACTTATTTTATTGTTTTTTCAACCCACCCCAATTTGCAGACTCTGGGCAGGATACAACAGTGTAAAGATGTAAAACAAGTAAAAAGAAGAAGACAATTAAAAACAACACACCACAAAAAACCTACTCCCAAAATGGACACCACAAAGCAAAGAACTCAGATCAAAGGTTTGGCAGAACAAGGTTGTTCCACAGCCTTACCGAGTTCAAAGCATTAATATTTTGCTTGGAAGTAAACCTGTGAGCAACCTTCTGTTGGGGCTGCCCGGATTCAAAGACTACAATCTGGCCCATTAGCCAACAGTTAGATAATTGCAGCTGAAATTATGACGAGGCTATAGTTTTATCTCCATATTTGCTAGCTTTATCCAACTGGGCATTTACTGTATCTGCTGCTTTTCCGTACCAATATAATAATTAGCCTCCAGAGAAACACAAAACAAGCAAACAAAACAATATGGAGGGAGTGCAATTTGGGAACAGAGAAAAATTCTTCAGTCATTTTTTTCACAAAAGGTTTGCCAACCAGCAAAATTAGGTTTTCCCTGGCTGTACCTATTCTGATTCCACAGACAAAACAGAGGCCACCACGTTCTGCAGAAAGACTATGACCACACCACAGGCTCATTTTTCTTATGCCTGAATAATCGGCCCATGAAAGCAACTGTCCAGTGCTTCCAAAACAGATTTAACTCCGGGTGTGTTCACTCCCCAAAGACGGGGGAGAAACTCAAGGCTCCCTGTTTCATTTGGGTACAAGGAAAACTTTATCAGCAAGGTATTCTCTATCCATGTAGCAACTGCCCAGGACAACCCAGGCAGTAGCCTATGCTTCTAACTCTATGCAGTTATTTAAAAACATGCTTAATAACAGAGCAGTTGTAATCTCTAACAAAAGTTGCCCAAAAGTTGTAATCTCTAACAAAAGTTGTCTAAAGAAGCTTACCTTTGGGTGCCGAGGACATGACGGTGACGCTGCTGCTGTTGCTTCCTGGTGCGGGCTGGATGATGGGGATGGCTTGGGGGGCAGTGATCACTTTTCCATTGGGGGGAGGCAGAGTGAAGTGAATGCTGGCGGCCGCAGGAGTGCCTGCTGCGGCCGGCATCTTCCCCCCTGCCACCTGCAGCTGCTGAGGCAACGTAGGCAGGATGTACTGAACCTGAGTGATGCTCCCGCCCTTTCCTGCTGCCCCTGACAGAATACCTTGAGGCTGCAGGATGCTGAGGGGCACGGGCCCATTCTGCCCAGGGGGATTCTGGGTGATGAACTGCACAGACTGTTGCTGGGCAATGGCCCCAGGTGGCAAAACAGTCACTGGGACGCCAGCTCCTCCGGCACCGCTGGCTTGGCTATAACCTTGAGTTCCTACAAGGAGATTGGTCACAACACTTCCTTGGTTTGGGGGACACTTCCCCACCGCAGCCAAGCCTTGGCCAAGAAGTGGTCCAGCTACTAAATGAGGAGACGTGGCTTGGATCCCAGCCATGCCAGAGCTCTGGGGAGTCTTTTTATCGGCATAGAGCAGGCCGAGTCGGCTTACGGAAATTCCTTCTGGCTTTGTGTTGCCGTCTGAGGGTGGGGGACTGAGCAGTGGCAGCCCATCCCCCGATCCACGCAGGAAAGGTTTGCTGGCAATAGGTACAGGAGTGCTACTAACTGGCTTGACTACGTTGGTTACCACAGTGGATGCTGTCCGGACCAAGCTGGGTGACCCGCTGTAGCCGATCACCCCCATGTTTGGGGTGCTCATAGAGGGGGCTGTCACCAGCACAGTGCCAGTGGACAAACGGGTTGAATCAGGAAGCACCACAGTTTGCACCACGCCGCCGGGCGGAGAGATGACAGAGTGGGCGGGGACAGAGAGGGGAGCTGCTCCAGACTCTGCAGGCCCCTGGGAACTCCCTGCACTGTCTGCTCTCTTCCGCCTGTAGGGGGCAGCTGTTGGGTCAAAGCGCGCCTCCAACCGCTTGGTTGGGGTGTTGTGGGGACGAAGACCTCCATGTGAGTCTTGGGCCTTGAAGGTGCTGGGGGACATCTGGAAGGAACTGTAAGATTTAGAAGGGGGCTGCTCATCGTGACTGTGAGGTGGTGGCGGCGGTGGCGGCGGTGGCGGCTCCAAGTCCAGGGGAGGTTGCGGACGACATGGGGCAAAGGGAGCAGAAGGAGGAGGCAGGGCTGCTGAGCGGATCACTGGGGCAAAGAGTTTTCGTCCAAAGTCCTACAAGGAAATGGGAACTCTCTTAAAAAGAGGAAGAGTCTCAGGCAACCATTTTCATAGTGTCCTGGCGAAGATGGAGACCAGCCTTGAAAACTGATCAGGTCCCAGTTCAAATCTCATCAAGATGATTTGAGACAAGACCTTCTCAATATCACATGCTTGAGAACAACACTAGGGTTAATGTAAGGGTGAATGTTTCCAAGCATTATACATACGTGGGAACACAGACAGAGAGAATTCCCTAGTCAGAACAGCCTTTTCATACCACGTGGCTGTGAACCCCCCATTTCTGTACTTATCAGTGCACTTAAAAGCCTTTCTTGTAGCCTCTTGCAACTTACCTTGCTGTCGGATTCATCCCCTAATGATCCTTCACTATCACTGTCCGTCACTCGCTCTTTGCACTTCAAGTCAACATCAGCCGGATTGAACCCATCCTCAGCTGTAGGAGGAAAGCAAGGTGAGTGAGTCAGCAAGATACTGTCTCCCCATCTCGCTTCCCCTATGAACACTCTCCAGGATGACAGAGAGGTTACTCTCCAGGAGATAGTATTACTGCAGATCTGCAAATATGCTTACTGCAAAGACAAGCACCACAGAACAGGGCTTCTGGGGAAGAATGTGGGCCCAAGTGCACATATCAGAAATGTTAGAAGAGCTTTATAAACAGGGGCCTTGGGCACAGGAGTATTCAACTGAACTGAGTACCCAAAGAACTGGATAATCACAGGAAATGAAGGTGATAGTTAGCAAATAACTGGGGCACAAGAAACCAGTGTAATGGAGGAGGCAAAAATGGTAGGTGGAAATGCCTGGTTCCTCACTGGCCACCACCTAGCTTTGAAACAGTGCATTCAGACAAATTTTCAAGATTACTGAGAAAACAATCAGAGCTTCTAACCAGGGATTGTGGGTTCTCCCACTCTTACTGCTTACACACAAACTGAGCACTGGCGCACAGCTCATTACTTTCTGTACTGACAAGCAATGATTCTTCAGGATTTCTCAGCCTCCACTGACTGAACTTGGGATTTCCTCCACAAAAATATTTGCACTTCTGCTGAACTACATTATTTTTTTTCATAATGAAAATAAGTTCAATGTAGGGAGCTGCCTTATATCCAATTTCTATTTCCTACAAGTGATTCCATGAAGGGGAATCCGGTTATTCTATTTTATACCAGCAGCCGTTAAAGTCGCTCAGGAAAATGTTTGAAAATCCCAGCTATTTTATAGGAAAATGGCTGACACAATAAAGTCATGGAAATAAGTTTGGCTCAGCTTTAACAGTTCCAAAATGAAAATGTTCCTCAGAGAGGATATTGTTTCTAAAAAAAAAAAAGTGCCTTTTAATTTCTAGCTAACATTTGTAAATATCAAACTATTTAGTCAAGGCAATCCAAGATGTGCTTCAGCTTATATCTACAAGTATTTATTTCACATTTCTCCCTTGTCTTGTTTATTTAGCGAAGTTAAATTTTTAGCTTCTAGAGAGGGCAAGTTTGCAGAAATCAGCTATTCATAATGTAAGACAGGAAAGGTGAGGGTGGCCCACCAGCATCCCTTTCATTGCCTCCAGAGCCTCGTCAGAATGGGTAAGTCAAAAAGGGTACGGTTAAATCTTTGGATTGTTTTATTGCATTTGGGGAGTTTAATGGAGATTTAAGGAATACTTCTTAAAACTCTTGAAAATCCTCTCAAAATGTTCCTGGTTTCTGTTTATTTCTGGAATATTCTCCTTGACATGCAATAGAAAGCCATTCATTTCTGAAACATTTATATGGGAAAAGTTCAGAGCAGCTTCAGTATGAGTTCCTCACCAATAACGTCATCGTCACCCTCCTCCTCACAGATAACCATGCGCTCCTCATCACTGGTCATGTCCTCGCTGGTTGTGCGTTGAGAACGAGAGGCACGGGAGGAATGTGGGTGCAGAGAATGACGGGGACCCTCACCCGGAGTCGCAAATGGGGACCCTGAGGGGCCCAGCCCCCCATACTGCCCCTTTCCACTGGCATATGGAGACTGCCCAGAGCAAATCTGAAACACCAAGATAGTAATCTGTTAGAGGAGGGAGAGGCAACTTGTAAGGGCCTGCGTACATACATGCTCACTTCTGGCACTGGGAGCACAGAACACCAATTTGCCAAGTCTTACAACGGTTGCCAATTAGTTTCCAGGTACAATTCAAGCTCTTGGTCATGACCTGTAAAGCCCTTCATGGCTTTGCACCTGAGGACCCACAGGACCACCTGCTCCAACTGAAACTGGCTGAAGGAAGGCACTCCAAGGAAACAAAGAAGTGCCTTAAAGGCAGTTGATCAGATGATGTTAAGAGGAGCTTAGAAGTTGCATCCTTTAGGAACTTCTAAGACAGTCTTTTGTGTAGTTTAGCGTACTGCCTTTGTGTTGCACCCTCCCATTTCATGTATGTGTATGTGTATGGGAGTGAAAGAAAGAGAGAGAGGGAGGGATGCATGTCAGTAGTGGGATACAACCTGAGGACACAATGGGCGGCCATAGATGGACATAAAATCACGATGGACAACCTGGGATTCCAAGATAGCATGCATCCCTCAAACCCCCTTTTTCTGAGCCTCCAGAAACCTCTTCAATCACCTTAGAAAAAGTTGGGATATACTTTCCTACTACTTTGAGGTAAGAGATACTGATCTTTAAAGAGAAGAAAAGGCCCATCTATAAAATCTAGGATAAATTCAACTCTGCATGTGTGCATGGTATGGCTCCACCCTCCTTGTATCATTGTTCCACCCACTGTAGATCTCACTTTCCAAAAACTTAGAAGCACTGTCAAATCCATAGTCTCACTGAGAAATTCTTTACTCCAGGATAATACCCTGACCACCGAATATTTTCCCACCTCAGACAGAAATAAAGTCACAGTGTTTGCAATAAGCAACATTACCCTCAATGGCAGGCCAAGGGTGTTCAAAGCCTGATGCTCTCCTGAATTCTAAGCGAGCATAGCCCAACCTTCACATAAGCTTCTTGGATTCCTGTTGCCCTGTGGTACCTTGTGTTGACTTACCTGGGTAAGCTCTTGCAACACCTGGTTGTCCCGGTCACTCTCCATGCCATGCACACCGCTGTGGGAGAAGGCCCGTGGGCGCTGTGCATCAGACCCTGAGGGCAGGATTCGCTCCCCATGGATGTGCCCAGATCCCAGGATCCCCACCTTGCCATCTGGCCCCAGTAGCATTTCAGAAGTACCTGATCAAAAAAAGGAGGGAAAAAAGTAAGAAGGGCCTAGAGGAGCCTTACCAAGGGACAATAGGGGGCATCAAAGCAGCTCACCTCCAGGTACAGCAGCAGGACCTGTCTCTGACATGCTGCGTTCACGTGTCTCCTTGGGGCACCCCCCTGGTCCAGCAGGCTTCACATCCGAACTAGACTTCTTCCGATCTTTGTTACACCACTTCCAGTCAGGGTGTGCTTTGAAATGGGCTTCCTTCACCTTGGAGGTGGGAGAAGATGAGGGAAGAAAACAGTGAAAAGAGAGAGAGAGGTGGGGAGAATGAGAGGGACAGAAAACAGAGAGATTCCAGATGCTGAGGGCTAAGCTGGAACCAGTCATTACTACAGCTGCAAAGATTCCACACTGTGGAAGATTCTCAAATGCTATAAAATTACAACCTCTATTAATTCTGCATATCTGCATAATTTCTATCAATCTCCATAGCTGCACCAAGTGAAGCCAGCTTCCTATCTAAATCTGTCTTAAGATAATGAAGCCCTGCTTGTCAAAGTTGGAGATCTTCTCTAGCCAATTCTTTGACTTCTGAGATTTCACTAGGCTTTACCTACACTTTCAAGCACATCTTGGCTCCCATCGGAAATAAAACTCATCTTCTAAAATTACACAAAACCCAGGATTCTCTGGGAATTTAGTTCTGCTGAAATGCCCGTTTTGCACTTTGAGTATTTCACACAGTCCTGGATGTCACCACATTTCCTCCTCCACTTGGAAATAGACTAGCCCCTCTTAAGAGTGTCAGCCTTCCCAGATAGACCAGACAGGAAACATGATCAGATGTGCTAATACTACTTTACTGTAAGGCTACATTAACAGAACCTTGCAAGTCTGAAAGGACAAATCTCCCACTGTCTCCTTTACAGCCTGAGAAGTTAGGGAGAGTCCCTTCTGAGCCTCTTTCTCCACTCGTTATGCTGCTGCGGGCTATGCCCTCTCTTATCTGACAGTTCCCTAGGCAACATCTCTTCCCCCCATCTCCCAAGGTCATTCCCACATACCATTATACAGAGACAGCACACTGGACCACATTGACCCTTAACTACTTCAGCCATGCCAGCTGAGCTAATAAAACAGTGGCATGCCCAAATAGAGCTCTGACTCTTAACCTCATTTTCTGACCAATGCTCTGTAGGAGACTGTACCTGGAAGGCCAAGTCATGGTACTTCTGCTTCTCCTTGGCACCTAACGCGTACCACCACTCGCCCAATATCTTGCTGACAGTACGGTTATCTTGGTTGGGGTGCCGCTGGTGTACAAGGGCCCGGTGCCGCTTGCTGAAGATCATGAAAGCGTTCATTGGCCGCCGAATGTGATCTTTTTCTCTCTACCAAAAAGGAAAGAGGGAATGTAGGGAAGTGCCATAGTCATGTTACCCCAAGGCAGACAAATTTTTGGTGGAGCATTTCACAAGTAAGCGAAGGGAGGCAAAAGACTTCCCTGGAATACTCCTTACTAAGCATATTCAGGAGATGGAAAGGAAAAGGAAAAAACAGGAAAGTCATCACACCTTGTTTGGACTCCGCCCATCCTTCTCAGAGGAAGAATCGCGCTCTTTCGGCAGCGCACTCAAAGACTGGGTACGCCGCTTGCCAGGCAGTAGTGGGATTGGGATCTCAGAAGATGAAATGGATAGGAACCTAGATATGAAAAGATTAGGTGAAGGCTCAAAGGCAGCTTCTGCATTTCCGGCTGCCTATTCCAGAGCCCTCCCACCATCTGGGGCTCCCAGCATTCTTCAACACTTCTAGCACCACACCCATTCCTTCCCTTCTTTCCGGACATGAAAAAAAAGGGGGGGGGGGTTCAATTTCACTGTCGCAATCACCATCTGGCCTTTTTTGACCACACCCCCCATTCATCCCTGTTTCTTTTTCTTATGTGGGCTCCTGCCAAAGGTGTTCTCCCCTAGGTATTGCTCAATTTCACCCCCTCAAGTCACTGCCTCCAGCTACACGTCCAGTTCCCACTATACTTCCCATCACAACCCTGGAATCCAGCAGAAAAGCAAGTCCTGCATCTGCCATGCAATCATTGTGCAAAACATGAACCATACAATAGGGTGGTGAATCAAACAGGAGAAAGTGCAGCTACAAATGGCTGGTGTCTGAGCAGCATAATGAAAGATACAACAACTCAAAGCAACAAAACTCACGCATCATCATGGTCACTCTCTGTCTCGCTATCCAGGCGTGGGTGCCCTGGGAGGTCATCATCATGCTGAGATGGACCTCCGCCTCCTCCTGGAGTCACCGAAGACGGTTGGGGAACTGGAGCGGGACTATCAGGGTGCGAGGAGGTTGGCCTCCCTGCACTGTCAGCCTCTGAAGATAACCCAGGGAGTTCATGGGCTACAGCAGCTGATTCGGGAGGTTCTGAGAACATAAATGCCAAAGTGGGAATGAGTGGCTATTTCATTGGAGAGGGGTTATTGCAAACTTTGCGTTACTAGTTTGGGCCAGCAAGGCATCACTTCATTCCCAGACAGTCCTCTTCAGTGATTGCTTTCCTACCCAGAGACTTTAGGGGAAAATCTGTACATATTCCATTTCTTTCCTTCGTCCACCTTACCTTTGTTCTGATTGGATGTGGACGGATGACTGACAGGCTGCTGGCCTTCACTGGGCTGCACTGAGGAATCTGGTTGGCTTGGAGCCAGGAAGGGCACTAGTGAGTGCCATGGGAATACTGCCACAGACCGCGGCTCCACATTTGTCCACACTGGAAGGAGGAGGGGAGAAAAAAACACAAAAGTGTTTCATCAGCCAACTCAGACCAGCAACTGAAAAAAACCGAGTGAGGTTCAATGGCATGGGAAAGAACAGGAGTCCAGAACTGACAGAGTTGGGTTACTGGGGAAATCAAACTACATTGCTTTCTCTCCCTTTAAAAATTCCCTCCCTTTCCCTGGCAAAGATGCCTTGTTTTTGTCTACAATTTTCAGTCCCAATAGTCACAATTTGTGCCATGCCTTATCACTAGTCAGTCACTTCAGTCCCTGAGGAGGGGGGCAAGGGGGAGGTTTTCTCCTCCGCCTGCCAGGAAGCAACCATGGCGTCCTCCGCCCTTCCCAGCTGGAAGCCAGGCAAAGGAATTTTACAGCTGCAGGAGGGGAAGGGGAGGGAGAGGTTGAGGGGCCCCGCTCGCTCAGACTCCCACGCTCACTGGGGCAGCCAGGCCGTTTGGCTTCATCCCATCTAGAAAGCTTGGGAGCATCCCCAGGAGCTCAAGCTGAGCAGGGCAAAGATAGCTAAACATTACCCAGAACAGTCTACCACTACATCGCTCTGTATGGTGGGTTCATGGGCCTCTGCTGGGTAGACAAAGTGGTCAGATCCTACTTATAGGCAATTTAGAGCTAAAACGAAGAATGTTGTGGCCTGCTGCATTCTCTCGCCCTCCCATCACTTCCTGCTGCCCCTATCAAACTAAGCAATACTTCCTTCTTGGGGTATCCAGGAAAAGGCTAATGCAGAGGAAAGGGACAAATATACAAGCCCGCGTATATATACACACAATTTACAACACCCCAAAACCACATTTCACAGTAACATCTAATTGCCAATAACTCCAAATGTAAGTGATGTTTACTTGTCAATACAATAACTGTGAAATTACAATTTAACGCAGCAACAGGTGTGAATGGACCAGAGTTTTGCATTGTGGCAACAGACCATGACTGCAGTGTTTGCAAAAAAACAAACAAACCCTTAACTCAACACTGATTATAGTGTAGACTTTGCAGATCAGCCGTACTGACTTTCAATCAGCAGCAGCAATAATAGCTTTCAGTTTGAGCAAGCACCCCAACTGATATCAATCATCCCATCACAATATAATGTAGTATCACAAGGAACATCCACAGCTGGATGAAGTAGGTTGAGCAACACTGAAACAATCAGATTTTAGCTACAGTCTAGGGAGAGAATACTGTTGAAGGGTTAGATTCCACTGCTCTAGAACACCTCTGTCCTTAGCATTTCAGTAACAGTAAGGTTCAGAAACAAACCAAAACTACTTTGCATGCATATAGGCATGCACCTCCATTCCATTCAAAAGATCATGAAAGAGATTATGGAGCAGATTTCCACCAAGCTTCTTGAAGAACTGCTGTCAGTCAGAGCAGACAACACTGAGATACATAACTAAGCAGCTTGATCACTGAAGGGTCTTAGATCACCTTTGCTACTTCTTTGATTCTATCTATAATTTGTTTATTGGGGGAGAGGGTTAAAAGCACTTTTAAGTACTTGCTTAAAACAAAAATGTTTAAATTAGCGATTAAATGGTGGGGGGAGGACTTGACTTTGCTCCCAGAGAGAAGAGACAGGCCTGTTCCAACAGCACATTGCCTACCAAACAAATGCCTCTTTCCCCATCATTCTTCTTCCCTTCCTTATAGTCCCTAATGGATCAGCTACATTTCTCCCCCTCCCCCCTGCACTTGCGTGTAAAGTTAACTCAATTATTAAAAGCACTGAGTGCATCGTGGTTGGACTCTGCCGGGAAGCGCTGGCTCAGTGGCTTCCTGTCCTCCGGCTGGTGACCACATCCCTCTGCAGGAGGAGGAAGAATTAAAGGGGGAAGGAAGGGGGAGAGTAGAAACAAGGACAAGAAACATTAAGACACCCCCCCCAAGAAACAAGAATCTTAAATATAACCACCAGAGGCCATCCACCATCCCAGCACTACCTCCAAGCAAAGATTAAGATTCAGCTTCTGAGATTGAAGCCACATCAAGCAAAAAAAAACTACCAAAGCATGTGACAAAGAAAGTTCAGCACACGCGGGGACTAGTCTGAAGCTATACAACAACCTGAACACAGGATTTAAGAGTCCTGGTGTATAGTAATACGCTGTTCTACCTCTGGTCAGCAGAACAATCCCGAGTTTACAAATACTGTATACACGGGGCAATGGTCTAAAAGTTCTGCTCGGATTCAAATCCCACTTTTGCCATCAATTACATAGCCATAAGTGTATTCTGCAACCACAATATGGTTGCAAGATACACCTATAGATATGCTTGCTTCTATAAACATCATCTAATATCACATGCAAATAAACTGTACAAAACCAAATCAAAAGTACTGTGTGCATTTGTGCTGGCCTTGTCCTGCCACTTCTCATCACATCCACGAGGAGGGACTTCTAATGGCCATGTGCACATTCTAACAGAACTGTCACTTTATTTCACCCACTGCGCTTTTAACACCATCTTGAACCACTGAAATTTAGTAACTTCTGTTGATCACCACATCTCCTCTCTAGAAAAAGTTCATCTGCTAAATTTCTGGGTAACAGGATCCCTACATACATCACGGGACAGCAAAAATAAAATAATCAGAAACCTTACATCCAATGCTTGCTCCTTGTCTTCAGTGGATGAATTGGAAAGACTTGAATCCCACTGTATGTTTATTAAGCTTTTCAGAGACCTTTAAGGATATTTTGAAGCTAATTCCCCAACTCCAGCTTCTTCCATTCCACAGAACTCAAACCTTATCATCAGCGCAATAAATAGCAGACAAGCCATGTCCTGACACAACAAAGGTTAAAGGTCATCCCATTTGGGGTTAGGGTCTCTTATAACCTTCACACCACTCATCATTTCATCAAGATAGAGCGCAATACAGGAATTGCTCTGCACCGTGCCTCACACCTCTCCATGCACACACATATACCCACAATGCACTGACCGAACATGCCTAACCCCCTGTGTGGCAAAGGGGGTAAAGTTGCTGGGGGTCTTTCTGTGGAAAACATCGCAAGGCGCAAGATGCCGTTGACGTCTCTCAGCGAACCTGTCTGGAGACCATTCTCCCCACTCTCCCTCCCCAGGATGGAGGAGGTGTGGCCCAGTAAACTGCAGCTTCGATGCAGGTTGAAGGTGTACTGCGAGGTCAGCAAGCTGGTACTCCTCGGGGCCAGGGGAACACTTTATCTGGTTCCATGTGGAAAGCAGGCCAGCTGGAGGTCAACCCTCTAAAGACCGGCCACCATCATGCAATAAAACAGCCGGAGAGGCAACAGTCTTCTACAGCCTGTTCCAATCCTCCTCACAGGTGGAGCGCATCTCGGACTCAGCCTGGCAGTCAGCGTGGGGTAAGTTAAAAGGCATATTTGGGAGAAGGAGATGAAGAAAGATGAGGTAGTTGTGCAAGGGTGTCTGTGTGCGCCAGTGTGTGCAAAAGAGGAGGGGAGGGGGCACACAGGCAGCGCAAGTTTTCAAAGGTCGGAGGGGTGCACCAGTCTGTGCAAAGAACTGTCCAGCGCCCCCTCCTCTTCGTCCACCCCTATTTTGGCCGAAGAAAGGCCCCCCAGAAAAGAAAGTGGGAAAAGGGGGTGGCTAAGTAGAAGAGCAGAGGCAGAGGGAACCGCCGCCGCTTGTCCGCCTGTTCCGTCCCCCCGCCAGCAGCAGCGACTGTTGCGTGGCCGGAT